ATTAACCAATAAAACTTTTACAATATCACGGGATGATTTACAAAAATCGGCCAATCACAATGAAAGCCCGCTATGCTCTTCAGCCCAGGATTTTCTTGACATAAGGGTACCCATAATCACAGAATTTCCTTGACATAAAGACGTACGCCTTTATGTCAAGGAAATTCCGAGCTGCCGGCCAAAAAAATATGGGTCGTAATATCTCAAAAATTCACTATATATCTAACATTAATAATTGTGTCTTATAAGTAAAATTTCATTCTGAAAACTTTTACTTAGAGGTTAAAAGTTAGTTAACATAGTAAATTTTTGTGTTATTTACGTATTTTTACAATTTCTTATGTTTTTCACGTTTGGTTTGTTACTGATTTTATTGGATCCGGATAGGGTCGGAAGTGATCTTCAGCCCGGGATTTCCTTCTGGATGTTTTGTAGATCATCGATAATCTTCGTCTAAACAATGGCAGTACAATACTTCCGATGTATTCCTTAACCTTAAGGATGATTATAAAAGTTTGTTTAATTGTTTTCTTGTAAATCGGGTGTAAATTTGTCGTTCCAGTGTGTTATGTAATAAATTAATGTTGATAAAGATAACCAATTTCTAGATACTAGAGAAGGATCTCAATTCAGCAATTTGGAAGCTGATGAATCATTTAAAAATCGAAGAATCACCAGAAACTACAACTCTTATGGAGAATGAAGTAAGAATTAAACACAAAAGACAGTATAGTTATTCGCAAAGGAATAATGTTATTGGGTTGACTTTTGTTGAAATCGTACGCAACCGATCTTCCAGCCGAAAGGAATGGTATGAAGCCAAGAATTAAATTTTTGTTGTATTGAATATTTGATTTATGTAATTTAATTTAATTTTTTTTATATTGTTTGATATTTATATTTTGTGGATCCTTTTGTATTGTTTCATTTAGCAAGAACACATTCCGTACACATGTCATTAATCATAACTTGAATCCAGAATGGAAAGAAAAATTACACTTTTCAGTAAAAAGGACAGAATTAGACTTTTTAATTAAATTCAGTGTTTACGATTGGGACAAATTCACAGGAATGATCTTATTGCTTGTCAAACTATTCCTATGAAGCAATTGCTTGATCGAGCACAGAAAAAAATAAGCATGTCATAGAAGTGGAAAATATTGGAGATGGAATGAAAGAGGAAGAAATTCCATTCACAGTACACGAAAAGGGCCGAAAAATATAAGCCAATTCTTATTGTTCGCTTAAAGTTTATACCCTACGAACATTAAAGAATCAATTTTGGCGTTCTTATGCGAAGGTTTACGATTCTGATGGGAATAGAGTATTAAATTTCGTGGAATGTTAAATAGTTTAGGACCATCTTCGACGAATCAAATGATATCAGGCTTTTTTACTCGTTTTGGCAAAGATCCAATAAAAGAGAATTAGAATATTTCAGAGTTTATTACCTGCTTAGAAGATTGGTTAAATGACATCTCTCGTTATTGAGCAGATAGTTCTGGAGAAGGATCCGATATGAGCATTTAATATTTATGAAAGAATGTCCAATTTGTCATAGACCGGATCTTACACATTTACCTGAAACCGATGTTATCACACATTTAGCCATATGTGCAAGCAATGATTTGAGTGATGTTAATAAAATTGTCACGGGAGATTTTGTCACAATCGCAAGCGCAAAGGAAATGGTTGGCTAAAGTTATTGATATGGTAGTTTTAGGATTGGTGCTGTGAGTATATGTTTTTCGAGATTACTGTTATTACGAATTTGTTCAGGCTCATACTTATTAAATTGTTATCAATTTGCATAGAATAATGCAGTTATTCTTGCTATCAATTTACTTAGAATAATGCAGTTATTCTTTCACAAGATCGTTTGACCGGATAAGTAGTGAAAGAAAAAAATGTCAACTTATGTCCGTTTGGGTATTCGACTCCTGTACAAAGGTAAACACACAGGTGAGTCTAAAATCTGTATATATAAATTTTTTTTTATTCTTTTTTTTTCGTTTAGAAATATATATATATATATATATATATATATATATAGAATAAATATATTTAACATATGTCATAATTGGAATTTAGTAAGCACAAATCTTCAGGCTTTAAACGCCAAAGAACAAACATTAATACCATTTAAAATAACACTTTTAGATAATCCGAAACCATTATTTGAATATATATCACATATCGACTCGACCCAAATTTGTTCGGACGATGAAAGATATGACATAGAAGATCCTAATAATGTGGTCCAGGCAATTAAAACATCTTTAATTAGAAGCAGGAAAGACTTTAGCCAAGGCACTTTACATAAACACTTCTGTAACTTTTTTATATTTCGTACAATCAACTTGGTTCCGAAGGAGTGAAAGCATTAGCACATTCGCTCAATATAAATAACGATTTAAAACATTTAGATCTCAATTCTAATCAAATTGGTGCTAAAGGAGTAAAGGCATTAGCTGATACTCTTTGTAAAAACATTTCTTTAGCTTCATTAAATCTTGGTCACAACTATATTAGCACTGAAGTGGTAAAAGTACTAGAAGACGCACTTTTTTTTTTTTTTTTATCTTTACTTCCCTCTGCTATCCTGGTCTTTAGACATCTTTAGGACCAGTCACATCTCTTAAAGGCCAGAGTTATCATTCTGCGAAGATCATCGGACGGCGTGTGGCCCCTGTATGTCACCGAACTGTGAGATAACTCATGCTCCATTAAGTCCGTCATATGACGTCCCGGGTCCCTGGTTCCGCGGTGTAGGACCTACTATCTCCTTCGGTCCGCAGTTCCCTAACTTTACATGACCCACCAGCCGGATCATCCGTAAATTTCGATATTCTCAATTCTACATGTTCTAAAATCGGGTTCTCTCAATGTTAACGTCATTTGTTGACGGATTACGCCTTATCTGGTTGTTCCCAACCCTGTGGCTATGCCGGTCACTGCATTCTTCTTCGTATGAATCTTGTTTTTTTTTTTAAATAGAAATCCTCTGCAGATCTTTTTCAATCATGGTCCTGGCAGAGTTTTAGTCGCCCTCTAAACTCGAACTCGCGACCTTGCGATTGAGACCCGGGAGCGCTAACCACTGCGCTATCGACCCACGGGTTAAGACGCACTTTTTAAAAAGGAGTAATCGCATTAGAAAATTCCCTTTATAATAACAAGACTTTAACCTCATTAAGTATTAATTAAATTCTAGAGATAGAATTCATTTATGATAATCAGTTTAATGGTACTATACAATTTAATTAGTTAATGGGTATCATTATAAAAATGATTAATAAATAATCGCCAAAAGAAAGTCGTAAAATCTTAGTATAGTTTATATCTATTCCGAAACACGTAAAAAGATTGGAATCCAGACTCTGGTTTAATATTGGCTGTATACATTAATATTAGCAGACCCAGCATCGCCCACAAAAAAAATGTAGCTTACATTATAAAATTATCGCAGTTCTGAAATCTGTGGCAGGTTAGTCAACATGCCTGACTCTATCACGGCGGCATAAAAATTATTACTAAGAAAATTTTTTAAATATTTCCTTTTTCAAAATCAATAATAAAATTTTAACACTATAGTCAACTAAATATAATTGAAAATGCATAGTCAACCTTAATTTTTTTTATTTTTTTTTTTATTTTTTTTTTACTCCCAATAAGTAGAAGTTCGTTTAACATATACAGACGTTCTTAATTATTTGAATTTGAAATATACAAAAGAGATGGAAGGCAGAACTACAACGAATATACAAAAATTTTCTCAGAACGATGACTCGTGTAAAGAATAGCACATGAATCAGAGTTAAGGTAAGGTGGAAGATTTTCTGCTTTCACCAAGAAAATGGAAATACAGATTCTCAAACTTATTTCAGCCTGAAAAAAAAAGACATAAAAAAGTTCATAAATTAAGTTTAAATATATCCAATAATCGCCCAACTAATGTATAAATGTAATAGTAAAAAAAAAAACTGGGTCTAGTAATTTGTTAAACTACATGAAAAAACTTCGTAAAAAAGGCTCGAACATTATATAGCATATATTAGACTTTACAGTAGAAATTCGAATATTTCAGTATTATTTACTTGTAGCGATAATAACATTGGAATTAATGTTATAATATGCATAGATAGATATCGATATTTAAATTTCTTAATAAAATTGACCGACGGTGCTAAATGATTTCAGAAATGTACTTGATGACGTTTTTTAGCTTTTCGCATAAATTTTTATTATTTAAATAAAATAGATAACGATAAATAAATAAATAAATAAAATATGAAATCAAGAGTTTTATTATGAGGTAAGCTATATTTTTTTGTGGGAGATGCTGTGAATATTAATTATGCTTGCCTAAAAAATATGTTAGTTTAAACCTACATACATAAATTCAATTTGCATTATCGTTATGATTATTTATTTAAGAGCGTCATATTATTTAATCAAAATATTATTTAATTAAAAGTGAGGTCAATTTTAAACTCGATTTGCACGAACCTAGCATGACCACCAAGATCAGTTACGTACGGAGTTTCAACGATTAATATGGAGATTTTTGTATGATTAATACGTAAATAAACTGGAAAAAAAGAAACTTTGGTTTTCAAAGAAAATTTTTTTTGCTATACATCAAAAATCAATCAATTTATTTGAAGCAAACGTTAATAAAAAGATCTGTATCAAACAGTTAAAATTCAGGGAACGCAGAGCGTGATAATTTTTAAAAAAAGTGGGAAATCTTAATACACATACTATCAAAAACACAGAACAATGTCGATAGATAATAAGCAGTGCATATTTCTTTGTTCTTATTTTTTAATAAGCAGTTTTTTTTATTAATCCTCTTGGAAAATGGATGTTTATTTCTTCGAAGGTATATTTATTTATTATACCCATTAATTAAAATTCCAATAGTTCAGATTAAATGAAATTCGAATTATTCTCTTATTATAGAAGCTGAATAAACCAAATAAGAGATAATACGTACATTAACACCAATTGATATTTCTGAATATAATAATATAGTTGAAGCGGACGAGGCAGATGCTAAGACTAGAAATTATAAACAAAAAACCTTTATGATGTATAATATACAGTATATTAATTGTAATTTGTCCATATAGAGGTTATTGGATATACACATAATCTTGAAAAGTTTTTTGATCATAATAAAAAGAAATATATGTTTAAAAAATATTCAAAAAATGATAAACGATAAAAGCATGCGAAAGTCTTCCAAAAACATGGAATAGAAGAAATAAAGCACATTTTACTGCCTAAATAAAGAATTGTGTTGAACACTTTTTTCATACCAAGAAATCAAATATTTCTGTAAAAATAAACGCTTTCAATTACATTAATAGGATAGAATATTATTAACTTGGAATTTCGCTTTTTTTTTTTTTGATAAAATTCAGAATTTTTTATTGAATCATTTTTATTTGGTTATGCATTTGGTACGAAAAGCATAGGTACGACTGGTCATGTAACTGGACGAATGCCGGCTAGCCAAAGGTGCCGGAAATAAATTCAATTAAAGGACCTGAAGTCCGCAGAATACATTGTAAGTAATTTTAGCTAAGTAATTCAAACTGAAACGATGATATGCTCCCGGAAAATTAGCAAGTGAGATTGCGCCAGGTATCGTCATAACAGTAGAACGAGCGAGAAGCTGCATCAGCCGGTGGTTTCCCGTCTGCTCGAAGCAGGCCGGCTGTTAAATAGGAAAATGGCAGAATCAGGAGACTATCATTAGAAACTAGTTTGTCCAAGACTATTGTGTTAAAGGGGAAAGGATGTCGAAAGTGCTTCTTCTTGTCGGTTCTTTATATATTGATTGCAATCGGTGGCTTGTGATTACGTATCTCTGCTTATTAATTAATTTTGCACGTCTGTAATCTGTGACAGGTTAAGCCACTAATTTCAATCACCGTCTGATTATATTCCCAGAGTAAAACTTGACCGTCATAAACTATAAACAAAAATTAACTTATAAATTCAAAAGTTGTTTTTGATATATTAACTAAACAAATATTTATACAAAAAATAAAAATCTTTTAAAATTAATTACTTTAAGCAAAGCAAACTATATTCCGTTTCTTATTGTTCAACACATTCTTCCTTAAAAGCTACATTTTTTACTTAATTCTACCTCTTTCGAATGAAGATGACTCAAAGAACTGAATTATTCTTTCTTCCATATCATTTATTTATGAACTCATATTTTCGCAGCATTTTTGACTGAACAGCCGCGACTAAAATCATAAAGACAAATATTCGGGCGATTTTATTTTTATTACATTATACTGATCTTTGAATTTATCTAACATGGTTCGTAATGTTGGCCTAATATTTTGGCAGTTTAAATTAATATAACCTGCACTTTATTAAAAATTAGTCCCTCTTTAAACTTTTAATTTGCTCACTTTACTCATGTTAGATAAAAAAAAAAAATTAATTTATAAAATCGCAAAATAAATAAAGAATAACCCAAATACGACCAAATCGTCTTTATATATTCAACTTCGCCTTTCAAATTATAGCTTTTTATAATGGTTTAAGCGGTAATTGAAATCAGTGGCTTAACTTGTCACAGATTACGGACGTGCGTCTTGATATTGGATAAGCCACTATAGATCCTCACGTGAGCGTGACATTTTGATGGCAATGCTTTGTTTGATAAATATCTTAATATTTTAGCGATTCTATAATGACATGCTATGGAATTTATAAATAAACTTCATTTAACCATAAATAATAAAGGACCAAGTTTATAAATTTATTAAAATTTTAAAGTAAATAATTAATAACACTAAAGTTAAATTCAGTATGAACAAATAATAAATTAGATGTAATATAATAATTCTACTTCTATTTTTTTACGATGAATAGATAATAGAATTCTGAAGCATTTATGCAATTGAAAAATCTTTAAATAATTTAAAGGTAATGCGTAACAAGTATTACTATTTAATTAGTTTATCTTAATTATGTCATCTGATGTAACATTTTAATATAGATTTATAATAAAATTAAGGATGTTGCAAATATGTAGTAAAGGTAGTTGCACCGACATCATTTCTACCCAAATTTCCCAAATTCCAATTTTTCTCTACGGTAGCCAAGTACGAATAATGATTGTAAGCACCACCATCAGTATGATTGGCAGGAGGATGAACAGGAGTACCGAGAAGACCGGCGAAAACGTGATTGCCTTCACTACCATCATCTTCGTCAAAAACGATAAAGATTAAAGTATTTGTTGTAAATGCAGGTTGAGTAAGCTTTGGTTCAAGCCAATTTTGGAACCAAGTCATCGCAAATGTTAAATTAGTGTCATGAGCATCATCTTGTTGATTTGGTACAAAATAGACAAATTGTGGTACAGCATTAGCACTTATGTCAGTATCAAGTTGGGTAGAAGGAACTAATTTTGCACAACGAGCGGAGTTTTGTCTTATGTCATTCATTGAAATGAAAGGATCATGCTTCCTTGCGTATAAATCTGTGCCAGAAGGAGCAAAACTACCGGTGTAACAGTTGCCAGCTGTAAAGTGATAGAAATGATAAGGTGAAAGTGAATAGAAAACAAAAAATAAATAAATAAATAATAAATACAATAACAATACAACACAATACAATACAATAAAAAAATCAAGAATTTGTGATAAACATGATATACATACGATAGTTTTCCATATAAGCTTTCCAAGAGATATTTTTAGCTTCAAGAAGGTCAACTACATTGTTACCGGCAATGTTGTGATTGTTATCGTCCGTGATACCAGCGGTTGAACCAAAAATTGTGGCAACGTAATTTGGCTAAAAGACAAGAAAGTTAATTTTTTAAAATTTTAAAATTAAAAGAAATAGAAATAAAATTTACCTGAGATGGATGTGAGACTGCATGGTAGTTGGAAAGAAGAAGGCCATCACTACGACTAGTTAAATTTGTCAAATAAGAGTTTGCTACCGCTTTACTATATGCAGTGTTTTCAAATATGACTAAAACAATTCGGTCAAAATATGTTCCCGTTACGATAGCATTAACGGTCACTCCAATAGAAGCGGCAATTAAGAAGAGAATGACAGATGTAAAATGCTTCATCCTTATTTGCGTGTAAAGGTTAAGTAAAATTGAACAACTTTTTGAAAGTGGAATTCATTGCGTTTTTATACATTATAAAATAGTAAGTGTGAAAATCTCTGAACAAAGACAGAACCAAATTTGCAAAATCGCATGGCTTTTGATTATTATGTAAACGATTGTAGCACTGTATTAATTCATATGGATACCGCCGAAAGTAAAAACTAGACCCTGGCTTTCAAGTTTATTATTTTAGTTTCGCAAAGCGAAAACTCGGAATTGTTGTTTTTCCGAAATTTCCTTTACAGAAATGAGCTTATTAGAATCTTTCATCACGGCGACTTTGTGGGAGTGGGCCTAAATTAAGAACCCAGAATTACCATTGAATTATTGTGATTATTAATAATGATTAAGTGTTAACAACATGACGCATATACTAAAATGAATTCCAAATTAAATAAAACTAATACAGTTATCGCGTCAAACCCATTTCCCCACCTTAAAATCCAACTCCTTTTGCAATAAATTTATTTTAAATTCGATCTGTTGATAGTATATATTTGTTTATTAAAAACTTTATATATATATAGTGATAAAAACACGTATCAATAGGTAATCATTTATCTCACATTAAACATGTGAGTCATATATGTGACATAAATTTTAGGGCACATGTGCGTCATACATGTGTCATAAATTTTAGGGTAGCGTAAAGATTCGCCGTAATGTGTAACACTCATTCACAATTTACTGGACTCAATCTTGAGGAATATGTAAGACATTTAAGAGGACTTAGTTATAATATATGTCGCCGGCCCGGGCTAAGTCGAAGTCTGAATAGTCGTTAGTGTGTTAATGATTTAGAATACCAATAATTGCAGAATTGTCAAGCATAATTTATGAGCAGTCATTTAAGTAGGTCGATTTCTGACATTCAAAAAAATAGGTTTATTTATTTCAAAACTTGATAAACACTTAAATTATTTGTTCAACATTCATTTACGTTTATTTACTTTTATATGGAATATACGTTTGGTGTTTTGCCAAGCATTAAAAATTTGAAATTCAGTAATGTTTAACGTTAATAAATTTAAATTCAAATAATTTAGTACACTATTTGTATATCACAAAGGTGACAAATTGCTAAAAATATATACCTGCAACTAACCAAATGCTAGCCCCAACCCTATATGATGTCAGATAATAACTTTCGAGAAATTAAGCGATAACCGTATGTGCACGGGTGTGTTTATTTCTCAAAATCCCGATTATAAAACAACATTTGGAGTTCTAACAAAAACTATTCCTTTCAAAATTTTAGTATAATCCAAACCATTTCTAATCCTAACCTTAAACTGAACTGATTTTTGTTTTCTAATTTATATATTACACGAATAACACTATTTAATATTAATTAAAAATTAATAATATTAAAGCTTGAATTTCAAATTCCTAATTTCTAGAAATCTTTCAGCGAAATTCATCTAGAAATCTGTCAAATTTTTATGTTACAATTTTTCACACCGTCCCAACCCATGCGGAGTACAAGTTATTACGCTAATTTAATATTAAATGTTGATATTCAAATTACTAATAGAGAATTCCCCGCAATTTACGTATTACGAGGTGATGTAGCCGTAGAACACAAAAAAAACCCTATTCTGTTCCAATAGATAATATAATAATTAAAACAAATAATATTTATCTATAATTATGGACAGTGGGTTAATGCACTTTTTTGTTATTTGTACCCTCATGTGCAATTTTTAATCTAGCCCCGGGATTCATCCGATCATATCAGTTAACTGAATTTCAGAAACATATTTGTTACCATACAAAAAAGGCATCATAAATGGGATTAAAAATTTTACCAGATCACAAATAATAAAAATGGTAGCTTGAATAATAATTGCCTTGCAGATTTTACCTTATCGTTATTTTTGTGTCATGATTTAACTAGAAACTAAAACCAGAGTGACTTGAAATTTTGAGTTTCGCAAAGGAATAACTTAATGATCTCAGTGCTTGTATTACCATGCCAAATTTTTAAGGAAGTTTGTCCGGAAATGCAGAAATTATTCTTTTTAATTAGTAATATTTTTTATTAAAAATGCAACATAATTTCAGCTATCAAGGTATACAAGCTCAAAATAAACTTACTAATTCCGTTTCTAACATTTATTTCAACGTTATTATCCACATGTCTTATTTACAAAGTACTTTTATTTATATTATATTATTTTTGTGTGCACACAATAATTATTTCTCTTATAATTTTAAAAAAATAAATGCTATAATACATAATTTTTATTTTTAAATATCATTAAAAAAGGAAATTTATTTTGACCTGGGTTAAAGCACCCAAGCTATTACCGTAAATCGTCGTATACAAGACCACTTGATAATAAACCCACGCAGTATACCCGGGTGCGAATCACGTTATCCATATTAATTAAACCTTCGTTTTTTCAAATATCTAGACTACCTATTACATATGCGAAATGTGCATCTCTTCAAAGTAGTTTTTCTCTTAATTATATGGTGTGCTTCGTATTAAAAGGGCTTATTTTGACAATTTTTCAAAAATTATTTTATTTGATTTTTAGATAGATAGATATATAAAAGATTGCTATGTAATAAAATGATTCACGAAATGAAACTTCAAGTAAAAATTTTATATATGTTTCTGAACATTTAAATTCGATTTACTCAAAATTGTTCATATGCCAAAATGGGACTTTAAAATATAAAACACCATATGAACTCTTAGCTGTACAGTAAACCCAGGGTCTATTATAGGTGGTCTTGTATACGGCGATTTATGGTCTATTACTATTAATTAAGGTCACGTGCTCAAGATTTATATTTTATGTATCAAGTAAGTATACATGAATGATTTTTTGCACATTTGTGTAATACAAATATGACAAAATTTAATTCCATTAGATCTTAAAATAAGGTTTTAGTTTTAGAGCTTATAGAAAGGCATAGTTATACTAAAATTTTGCAAGAAATTTTATTAATAAAAATTTTAAGAAATACTCTAACATATACTGTATGTATATATGGTCCGGTACAAAAATGTAGATACGCAATATCCGTACAATAAAAAATTTTTTTTTGTAATTCTGTAAAGTGGTAGTTCTAAAATTATTTTAATAAAATTTTATATGAAATTTAATTTCATTAAAAAAAAATTTATTAAGGATCAATTTCTTTGATTTCAAATTCTTCACTATCACTTTTTGCCAAAATTATACGATCATTTAAATTTCTATATTCTAGTGCTCTAGTATGCATTTTTTTAAACAATTCTACAATAGTTTTAGATGTAACCTTCTCTCTAAACGCATTTAATAATTTGTTTCTAATAGTTAGAAGATCAGAATGTAGGTCAGTTTTGGCAACTTCTTTCTTTACAATAGCCCAAATTTCTTTTATTGGTTGGAGTTCACAATGATATAAAGGAGTGTAAAATAATTTGTGTTCATAGTGATTAGCAATTTCAACATTTCCAAAAGGTACCTTTTCTTTATTCATTTTAATTAATTTATAAAGTTCTGTCTTGCTAGCATATTCTAAAACATCAATGTTGATTGATACTAACCATAAAGAAATTACCTTTTTTCTTGAATTTGATGTTGGTACCAAATTGATTTGATGTTTTTAATAGCAGGTTCTATCCATATTAATGTTCACTTATTCATATTAATTCTTAATACTTGCACAGAGCCTTTTGAAAAGGTCTTCAAAAATTATAGTTATAAAGTTACCATGATAGTTATTTTGATCTGTTATGATATTAGATTTGTGAATTATATTAGATATACTTTTCTATTCATTTGCATTCAATTGTTTTCTTCTTCTTAATAAGGATGACTTAATTGATAAATCTTATATCAATAAAGAATTAGATACAATCCACTATATATTTTATTTGTATTACTATTGCATAATACAATTATTGTTTGAATATAATTTACAATAATCTATGCTCTTGTAAATATACAATTTTATAATGTGATATCTATATACAACTTGTTGTGTAATGCAAGTAACATTTAAAAAAAACCTCTAACCTAATAGAAACATAATTTCTGTTTTGTAAATTTTAAACTATCATTATAAATAATAATTTTAAAAGTTATATTAAAAAATATGATGATTTAGTAAAGTAGATAAGTTGTTATTCTTTTAAGTAGCAAGATGTGAGTTCAAAACTTATTAGAAATGAAATTTGAAAAAATATACTTATATTATAACAATAGTATTCTGTTAATTAGTTAAGATAAAATAACTGTAACTATAATTATATTAGCATAACTAGTAGATTATAAGGCATTTGTATATTTTTTATTATATAAAGAAATGTAAATTAGTATTAGACAATGCAAACTTAAGATAAGTTCTTGTGCTTATATAAATTTGTAAAATTGAAGAAAATTAAAGTTTATTTGAAAAGATTTAGATAGAAAGATAATATAAATCTTCAATAGTATTATTATATAGGTTAAATCTAAAAAACAGATATTAATATAAAGAAATTGAATAAATAAAAACCTTTTGATAAGAGGTTTCACTAATTAGGTTATTAAAATTAGATTAAAAGAAAAGAATATTAGACTAAACTTAATATACTAAGAACAGATTATAGTTCTATCAGATTATTTGAATTTGAAGTTAGATGTCAAAGTAGAAGTATACTATAAATACTAAAGATATATTATAAAATTAATATTAAAATGTAAATAAACTTTACAAAAATATAGTTCTATTAATATTCTATAGAATAAGTAAATTAATTAACAGAAAAGACTCTAAAATTTTATAGTTAAATATTATACTTTGAAATAGATAACAGCTTAACAAATGTACAGAAAGAAGTTTAATATTAGATTAGATATTTACTTAGTTATACAGAAAATAGATGCTATTCATCTAATGTAATATAAAAATTAGAGTATTTAAATAGATAATCTTCTAACAAATTGTAGAAATAGCAACTAATATAGAATCTATAA